GAACGTACAACTGTAACTGCATCAAAATGTATCTAAACTGCATCAAAATGTATCTAAACTGCATCAAAATGTATCTAAACTGCATCAAAACTTAAACCAAACAAAGTGCAAACTCATCCACTGTAACTTCTATGTACTTATTCTACTGTTTTAGGTAATTATAAGGTTTGTCAGGAAACAGGACAAGTGTTTCCTGACGCGGGTCTTAGTCATATGATGACCTACAACTGGTAATTTTGGTCATCTGACCGAGGCCTTCCACTGGCTTACCACTCCACCCATTATAACCAGTTTTCAGTTATATATTCTTCGATTGTTTTTGTAAAATAGTTTATGTGGCCTAACTCCTCATTTCTATCTTGGGAGGTGCCTGGATACTAGTGGAGAACTCTTGATCCAAGGAGATAAAGATACTCTTGTCAAAATCTTCTAAATAAATATTTTTATTCTCATTTTTATTGATATGACAGACTGTTCCATTTATTACCATCTCTGTGGTATACTCTCCAAGAGGATAATTACGTTAAGGATCTATACCTGGGGTATACCTGGAGAGGGTTTTGGGGATCAAATCCCCCACGGATCAGTCTGTGACCAGGCTTCGCGGTGGATCAGGGCCTGATCAACAAGACTGTTACTGCTGGCCGCATGCAACCCGGCGTACGAATCACAACCCAGCTGGTTAGGTACTGATTTTAGGTTCCTGCTCTGCGCCTTCTTGAAGACAGTCAGGGGTCTATTGGTAATATCCCCTATGAAGCTGGGGCGTTGATCCCAGGAATACCGTTCAGGTAGACTCCAGGTAGAGGGTCCGGGTTCGATTCCCGGAGGGACGAAAACATTTCGACGCGTTTCCTTACACCTGATGTCCTGTTCACTTAACAACAAATAGGTACCTGGGTGTTAGTCGTCTGGTGTGGGTTGCATCCTGGGGGACAAGATTGAGGACCCACTGGAAATAAGACAAACAGTCCTCTATGACGCACTGCCTTTCTTGCTTTATCCTGGGTGGCTAACCTTCCTGGGTTAAAAATCCGAACGATATCTTATCTTATCATGAATAAGACATACTATATATGTATAACATTTGGGTGTTTTTAATGAGGGAAACGTTTCTCGAGTCTGTGGCTTTATCGGTCGTTGGAAGGGGATGAGCAGGTAATCTAGCAGTAAATAGGTGTTTTTCCCTCAGTTGGTAGCGGCCTTAGGTCACACTCTGCTGTCCCTGTTCATCTACTAGGTATGTGGGTGTTAAATATATCGTCTTCTGAGAAAGTCTTATCCTCTCTGGCAATAAGCCAGACAGTCTGATGACGCATATTTTTTAGTTACCTTGGATGAATATTAAAAAAAATCCACTCTGCGCATTAAGTGATTTCTTTGTCAATTTGTTAAGTTACCCAATCAAATGCAAGTTTAAAATGAAAGAAAACCAATGTAGCACCGTAGAGGGTAAACTATTTATTTATTTATTTATTTATAATTTGAGCACACTTACAGAGGTACAAAAAAAAAAAAATACACATAAGCGCACCATAATATTATTATTATAATATTATTAATATTATTATTATTATTATTATTATTAGTAGTAGTAGTAAAATAGTAGTCGTAGTAGTAGTAATATTAGTATATTATTTAGTAGATTAGTAGTAGTAGTAGTAGCAGTAGCAGTAGTAGTAGTAGTAGTAGTAGCAGTAGTAGTAGTAGTAGTAGTAGTAGTAGTAGTATTTAGTAGTAGTAGTATTTAGTCGTAGTAGTAGTAGTAGTAGTAGTAGTAGTCGTAGTAGCAGTAGCAGTAGTAGTAGTAGTAGTAGTAGCAGTAGTAGTAGTAGTAGTAGTAGTAGTAGTCGTAGTAGTAGTAGTAGTAGTAGTAGTAGTAGTAGTAGTAGTAGCAGTAGCAGTAGTAGTAGTAGTAGTAGTAGCAGTAGCAGTAGTAGTAGTAGTAGTAGTAGTAGTAGTAGTAGTAGTAGTAGTAGTTAGTAGTAGTAGTAGTAGCAGTAGTAGTATTTAGTAGCAGTAGTAGTATAGTGTAGTAGTAGCAGTAGATAGTAGTAGTAGTAGTATTTAGTAGCAGTAGTAGTAGTAGTAGTAGTAGTAGTAGTAGTAGTAGTAGTAGTAGCAGTAGTAGCAGTAGTAGTAGTAGTAGTAGTAGTAGTAGTAGTAGTAGTAGTAGCAGTAGTAGTAGTAGTAGTAGTAGCAGTAGTAGTAGTAGTAGTAGTAGTAGTAGTAGTAGCAGTAGTAGTAGTAGTAGTAGTAGTAGTAGTAGTAGTAGTAGTAGTAGTAGCAGTAGTAGTAGTAGTAGTAGTAGTAGTAGTAGTATTTACAGAATATATAAACTGTTTTTTTTTTTTTAATTTTCATTTAGATTTAATTTTTAAGGGGTGGAAGGGAAAGATTAGGTGTACTTGTACGTGCGTACTTGCTCCCATGGGAGACAGGTTTCACATACTCCCACGACAGGGGGCCAAGGTCGGGTCACCATCTGGAAAAGACCCGGACCGGGAGAGTACCGGCGAATCAAGAAGAAGAAGCCAGTAAGAAGGCGAACACTACTCCCACGACTCCCCCTGGGGTGGGGAAGATGGCAGACCAGAGGCCCAGCTTCTCCCTACGAGCCCCATGAGGGCGGGGAATGTTTACCTGGAGTTTACCTGGAGAGAGTTTCGGGGGTCAACGCCCCCGCGGCCCGGTCTGTGACCAGGCCTCCTGGTGGATCAGCGCCTGATCAACCAGGCTGTTGCTGCTGGCTGCACGCAAACCAACGTACGAGCCACAGCCCGGCTGATCAGGAACTGCCTTTAGGTGCTTGTCCAGTGCCAGCTTGAAGACTGCCAGGGGTCTGTTGGTAATCCCCCTTATGTGTGCTGGGAGGCAGTTGAACAGTCTCGGTCCCCTGACACTTATTGTATGGTCTCTTAACGTGCTAGTGACACCCCTGCTTTTCATTGGGGGGATGGTGCATCGTCTGCCAAGTCTTTTGCTTTCGTAGTGAGTGATTTTCGTGTGCAAGTTCGGTACTAGTCCCTCTAGGATTTTCCAGGTGTATATAATCATGTATCTCTCCCTCCTGCGTTCCAGGGAATACAGGTTTAGAAACCTCAAGCGCTCCCAGTAATTGAGGTGTTTTATCTCCGTTATGCGCGCCGTGAAAGTTCTCTGTACATTTTCTAGGTCGGCAATTTCACCTGCCTTGAAAGGTGCTGTTAGAGTGCAGCAATATTCCAGCCTAGATAGAACAAGTGACCTGAAGAGTGTCATCATGGGCTTGGCCTCCCTAGTTTTGAAGGTTCTCATTATCCATCCTGTCATTTTTCTAGCAGATGCGATTGATACAATGTTATGGTCCTTGAAGGTGAGATCCTCCGACATAATCACTCCCAGGTCTTTGACGTTGGTGTTTCGCTCTATTTTGTGGCCAGAATTTGTTTTGTACTCTGATGAAGATTTAATTTCCTCATGTTTACCATATCTGAGTAATTGAAATTTCTCATCGTTGAACTTCATATTGTTTTCTGCAGCCCACTGAAAGATTTGGTTGATGTCCGCCTGGAGCCTTGCAGTGTCTGCAATGGAAGACACTGTCATGCAGATTCGGGTGTCATCTGCAAAGGAAGACACGGTGCTGTGGGGCTAGGACTGGGGACAGTTGGTCGCAGAGGATGAGGAGGTACCTGTACCTCCTCCCATAGCAGACATAAGTCTCAGACACTCCCAAGACAGGAAGCCAAGGTCGGGTCACCATCTGGAAAAGATCCAGGCCGGGAGAGTACAGGCGAATCAAGGAGAAAGAAACAACAGGGGAGGCATGATAACGATGTGAAAGATACTCAGATAATTCAACAAAGTAAACAGATATAGGCTATTTCTAACAAGTATCAAGAGGTTATATGTGGAAGCCTAAACGCAGATAAGCCTCATGATTTTCTCAGTATCATAGTTTGTAAGAAATCGAAATGAGTGAAACAAGGAAGGTGTGGAGGGTAACTATTTTGTACACCATAATAAATAATAATAATCTTTATTTCTATAAGTATACATGTACAAGGTATACATTCCTAGCTGACATCAATGACATACTACTATATAGAAAGCCCCATGTTATGCTGAACATTTCGGGCAAATTAGGTCAATTTTGTCCCCAGGATGCAACCCACACCAGTCGACTAATACTCAGGTACCTATTTCACTGACAGATGAACAGGGACAGCAGGTGTCTTAAGGAAACACGTCCTAATATTTCCACCTGTACCTGGGATCGACCCAGGGACTTCAGTGTGTGAGCTGAGTGCGCTATACAAGAACCCCAACGACAATAAGTCAGTTTCACCTTTTCTGAGAGTTATCCTAACTAATTCACACATTTGTTATCATGCAAGATGACTGGTATCATCCAAAGATTGTTAATGTACTTGCATGAACTTACATATTGATGTAATGATAGTGTGCGTCTTGGTATGATAGGTTCCAAGACGCCAGGAACCAGTGATTGCTGGTCTTTTGAGGTTTAGGGCACTTCTGTGAATACGAAGATGTACTGACAACATGAATTGTGAAAACAGAAATAGCCTTTTCTTTAGTTTTAAAGACGTTTCGCGTTGTGCAGCGCTTTTTCTTAAATCTGATGAAGCTTTTCATGAGAACGAAACGTTGTGCCAAATAAAGCTTACTCTATGCCTGTATTTTCTTCACGTGTGTACGTATGTGTATTACTGTAAGACATACGCACACACGTACTGAAAGTATATGAGCGTATATAGTCTACACTTATAAGAATTCTCCTTGACCGTATTTACATTACGTCAGAAGCAATCAATACTGAAAGTATTACTGCTTAATAAATTCAAACACTTGATAACAAATACACATCAAGAATATGTTCCATTACATCCCTATACAGTCGTAAACACACATTTGAACAAACCTTTCGAACAACAATTAATTTAATATTGTTCCTTGAGTGCACAGCAGTACTTCGTTCCGTGATGACACCTGGCATTCTCAAGTACATATAAATAGCTGCAACGGGCAAGACAGTTCACTTCTGAGAGTGAGAGTGGAACGTGAGGGTACAACATGAGGCTCTCCATATCCCTGTCGGCTGTGCTTCTTGCTGGGCTGGTAACTGCTGCTCCGAGTAAGTAGAATCTAATATATATTTACTACAAGTGCATATACAAGGGGGATCGACACCATGCCTAACCCTTCTTGGGCAGGGTAGGTGCCTGAGACAGAGCTTGCAGCTCATGAGACTGTCATTCCCATTAGCCCCCTTGGGGCGAGGATGACAGACCAGAGAGGCCTAGCTTGTGGCTAGGCCTGAGGACAGTTGGTCCCAAAGATGAGGAGGTACTTGTGTCTCCTTCCATGGGAGACTTAGGTCTCAGACACTCCCTAAAGTAAGTAAGTTTATTCAGGTATACACAAATACAGTTACATGGAATTATCATACATAGCAGCATATGTGTAGAGAACCTAGGATAACCCAAAAAAGTCAGACAGAGTGACTTAATTCCTTAAAGAGGGAGCCAAGGCCGGGCCACCACTTGGAAAAGGCCCGGGCCGGGAGAATACCGGCGAATCTTTAATAATAAATAATGTACAAGGTATACAGGTCTAGCTTGACATCAATGACATACTATTATATAGAAAGCCGCTTGTTATGCTGATCATTTCCCTCAAATTAGGTCAGTTGTGTCCCAGGATGCGACTCACACCAGTCCACTAACACCCAGGTACTTATTTTATAATGATGGGTAAACATGGACAGCAAGTGTCTTATGGAAACACGCCCCTGATGTTTTCCAGCCGTACCGGAGATTCGATCTCCGTACCTCAGTGTGTGAGCTGAGTGCGCTAGCCATCGAGGTCACTAGAAAGGATGCTCAGCACTAGGATTACATCTCTTTATACATCCTGATCAGAGATTGTTAGAGGTACCATGTCAGGCGGACGTAATATTAGTTTTGTAAATGTTAATACATGTATATACAAACTGTGATATAAATATGATCGGAATGAATAAAAGTCACAATACCATAGCTGAAACAATAATATTATTGTCCTTACTGCTATTGATACTCTGTGTTATGTCTCTACTTCTTTCATCTTTCCCTTCCCTCTTCTCGACCTGTTTTGTGATCTGTTCATTGCCTCGTTCATTTGTGACTTGACAATGGTTCAAAATGGGCCGAAACCTCGTCATAAGTTTCCTCTAAAATATAAACATGACTATCACGTTTTATGAATCAAATATTTAACTTTTATTCCAATGCTTATCAAATTTGACAGAAAAAAACTTACTGCTTATTTTATGCTAGGCTCTAAACTTGCTTGGGTTAAAATGACAGATTTACAGCAACTCCAATAATAAAAAAAAAGTAAGATATCTCTCAGACATATTTCAGTGTATAGAGTTCTTTTGTATATTTAAATTTCTTTTGTCTAAGTTGTTTTTCAGGTTTCACTCCGCTTATATACAAGCAATTACCTATACGACTTTGCGGGGGGTTTCCGGGGTGGACCGGTAAGCCAGGGGAAGACCTCGGCCAGATGGTCAAAAGCTCCAGCTGTGGTTCATCATATGACTAAGACCCGCGTCAGGAAACACTTGTCCTGTTTCCTGACAAATCTCACCTAACAACCTGGCTCTTGGTACCATTTCATGATTTTCAGTCGACTGACAGAATAGCCCTGTGAGCTTTGAATCCAAATGTTGAAGACACTAGATGATATTTTAGTCCCTCCCGGATCATTGTGAAGAACTAACTAATGTATGTTGGATGTGTATGTGTGTGATAGTATGAGTATTCGTGTCCTGGTGGAATTTAATGCTGTGGTAATTACTATTTTAAGTGTTAAAGTATTCGTAGGTTAGGTAAGGTTTGTCAGGAAACAGGACAATTGTTTCCTGACGCGGGTCTTAGTCATATGATGACCCGCAACTGGAGCTTTTAGTCATCTGACCGAGGCCTTCCACTGGCTCACCACTCCACCCCTTTAAAAATTAGGGTATAGATGACATGCAGCCTAAATGGCCATCATGTAATAGGCTTAAAAATCTAAAACGGTACTATATCGGCGTCGGGAACAAATTTTGAGACCTCTGAAAACGTTTGAGTATTTATTCTTCATTTTTTCATTGTTTTTATTTTGACTGAGCGAGCTGGTCGAATCATCAGGGGACACGAAATAATGTCGATGTCGTTATGTTGGTTTTATATCCTATTTTAGTTAATAAACGGAGTAAGTGTCTTCTGCAACAGACATCTGCCGTCTTACCAAGGCTAGCTGGTCGGTTAATGGGGGTTTAACGTCTATCTACTAACGTGTTATTAAGGCTGCAAGTAACTTTTGCGCTTCCAGACAAGAACACTTTACTCTCAGAGTATGTACATTGTGATGCCTAGATTTTATACATTGTTAAAAAACAGACCACCACATATATGTATGTAAAATCCTCATCATATCACATGCATTAGTATGTAATAAACGTTAGAGAGAGAGTGGAAGAGTGAGATAGTGGAAGAGAGAGAGAGAGTGGAAGAGAGAGAGAGTGGAAGAGAGAGAGAGAGAGACTTTGTTCCATTCCTAACTGAATATTTCATTTTTCCTTCATATATCAATAATAATAACGGACATATTAAACCCCCTTTCAATAAAAATCTTTATTATTGCCTTCTTTTTTATTCCCCCCATCCCCCATGGTTCCAGACTTACGGGGACACTGACGCTGTCGTTCTTTAATCTCTTATCCAAGTTTCCTCTTCGTCTCACAGCTGAAGATGGAGGAAGTGACACCACCACTACTACTGAAACCACCGTCAGAAACCTGAAGCCCAGCTTGTTATCTCAACGACACCGGCCTGTGACCGCTTCTCCAGACACAGAGGGCAACCAGGACGACACAACCAGCTTCCGTCGCACTGTTTCTGAACGACGAGCCTCACTGGCAGCCATCCAAGGGGACAGAGACGACACAGACAGCCCCCGTCGCACCGTTCCTGAACGACGCCCCTTAACTGACGCACAGAGAGACCAAGACGACGCATCCAGTGGCAGTGATTCAACACGATTGGAATCTTCACCCATCGACGCTGACGCTCCTGAGGCTGACGCCTCAACGACAGACACCCACGATAACGAAGAAACACCCGTCCGTGGTCCTCAAGGTCGCCGCCCAACTCCATTCTTCTCAAGGCGCCATGTAAACACTTTTTTCAATAATTATTTTCATTCTATATATTTATTATGCACCCCAAACCCATCTACTTTTATCATGTATAATATTTTTCTTTATAAATTTCCGTTAGTAAGTTTATTTAGCCACAGGTATACATGAGTATAATTATCATAGTGTAAATTACCCTCTAGTGATTTGATGTCCTTAATATCTAATGAAGGGCTCTTGATCCAAGGAGTTGCAGCTACCAACCCTTAAATCCAACCTGATTATTTCTCATATTCCAGGTTTTATATAATACCTAATGTGTCTAATACTTCCCCTGATTAATAATAATTATAATAATCTAATAATAAATATAATTAATAAATATAATTCTAATAACAATTATAATAATGATGAGTAATAATAATTGTAATGAGAATAATAATGAAAGTAATAATGATAAGAGTAATAATAATAATAATAATAATAATAATAATAATAATAATAATAATAATAATAATAATAATAATAATAATAATAATAATAATAATAACAACAATAATAATAATAATAATAATCTCTTGTTTTGTTCGCAGGGTGCAGGTCGCTCCAACTCTACCTTGACTGATGAAGCAGCAAACGAGCCCAGCGCACAGGCCGACACTTCCAGCAAGGGAGAAGAGACCAAACTCAGCGACTTGCTCAGTAGCGAGGTAAGTCTATTTCGTTTTTCGTTTTACTGCGTTAAATTTCCTAATATAATGACAACTTCGGAAGAATAAGTTTTCATTCTGGATGATGTTTTGGTAGCAGGTGATAGTTTTTATCGTTACAGTGCTTGCAAAAGCTCAACTACCACCCTAGTTAATTGCTGTCATTACAGTGTAACTTATGCTACCGTAACTCATTTGCAGTCCATTAATTGTTCTCCTAACTCCTAGTTTACAAGCTAAGAACCTACTGTAACTCGGCTCATTTACAGGCCCGGTGGCCTGGTGGCTAAAGCTCCCGCTTCACACACGGAGGGCTCGGGTTCGATTCCCGGCGGGTGGAAACATTTCGACACGTTTCCTTACACCTGTTGTCCTGTTCACCTAGCAGCAAATAGGTACCTGGGTGTTAGTCGACTGGTGTGGGTCGCATCCTGGGGGACAAGATTAAGGACCCCAATGGAAATAAGTTAGACAGTCCTTGATGACGCACTGACTTTCTTGGGTTATCCTGGGTGACTAACCCTCCGGGGTTAAAAATCCGAACGAAATCTTATCTTATCTTAAACCATACCACGGGTGGGGATAGAATCCGCGGTCAGAGAGTCTCAAAACTCCAGACCGTCGCGTTAGCCTCTGGACCAGTTAGCCACAATAAGATTCGTCCATCTAGGTATATTTCTACACCATAGGAAGACGGCTTTGAGGGGACTTGAGCTAGAGTTCGTCACGGCCACGCTAGCTGGAGATTCGTCTGTAAAAACTTGCATTTGTGGTCACAGTGGTGGCCTATGCTAACCTTCCTATGGTGTAGAAATATACCTAGTTGGACGAATCATATTGTGGCTAGCTGGTCCAGTGGCTAACGCAACGGTCTGGAGTTTTGAGACTATATAATTTTTTAAGTGGCAGGATTCGATGAAATAACTTTCAAAACGAGCTTGGTGCCCGGGGGTATGGGGTAACATCACTTAGCTTCGGCTAAGTGCTCATACTTATCCTGGGTCTAGCTCTGTGGTAAAGTACTATGGACTCTGATACAGAGTTAGCAGGTTCGAGTCCTGCTGTGGACGTAGAGACAATGTTTATATATATATATATATATATATATATATATATATATATATATATATATATATATATATATATATATATATATTAAAATAATAATATAATCCTCCCTTCAGGGCAGCCACTCTAGGCCAGTCCGAGGCACAGAGGCGCAGGACGACAAGGATACTACAGCCCTTAAGGTACAGTGTTATCATTGCTTCCTCTCTTATCATTTATTAGAGCCCCATCTTCTGGATAGGTTAGGTAAGATTCGTCAGGAAACAGGAAAGGTGTTTCCTGACGCGGGTCTTGGTCATACAGTGGCCTGCCACTAAAGGTTTTGGTCATTGACCAAAGTCTTCTGCTGGTTTACTGGACCACCCTATCAAAAAAATAGGTTATAATTATGACCTATATATTGTAGCCACCCCCTCGTGGTGGATCAGGGTCTGATCAACCAGGCTGTTACTGCTGGCCTCACGCGAACTGAGGTACGCACCAAAGACCGGTTGATCAGGTACTGACTTTAGGTGCCTGTCCAGTGCCTTCTTGAAGACAGTCAAGGGTGTTTTGGTAATCCTCCTTATGTTTGCTGGGAGGCAGTTGAACAGTCTTGGGCCCCGGACACTTATTGTGTTGTCTCTCAGTGTACTCGTGGCGCCCCTGCTTTTCATTGGGGAATGTTGCATCTCCTGCCGAGTCTTTTGCTTTCATAGGGAGTGATTTTCGTGTGTAATTTAGTACTAATCCCTCTAGGCTGATGACTCTATTCAAAAGATGTATTAGGCTACTATCCTTATAAATTGTGACGTATACCTAAATTTGGGCAATATACAAATAACCCGCACGTAGGAGAGAGGAGCTTACGACGACGTTTCGGCCCGACTTGGACCATTTACAAAGTGACACTGACTGTAAAGGGTCCAAGTCAGACCGAAAGGTCGTCATAAGCTTCTCTTTCGTATGTGTGGGTTATTTTTGTATTCCAATCACGGTATTGTACCTGTCTCTTCCTCTAAATTTGAGCAAGCTACGGGCCTGCAAAATTTTCTAGTTATTCTCCCTAATCCTATTTTTTTTTGAGTGGGGGGGTGAATTTTGTCAGTAAATTAAGTTACATATATTGCTTTAAAAATTGTTATTCATATTGTCAACAGCCGAAGGAGGACTCAAGCGGTTCAAGAAAGAACGAATCTCTCTCCAGTAAGTTGGCTGCTGGAACTACAATACTCACCACCACCACTACAAAAACTGGTTCCTCTACCTCGGAGACCGGTTCCTCCACAACAGAAACCGGTTCCTCCACAACAGAGACCGGTTCCTCTACAACAGAGACCGGTTCCTCCACAGTAGAGACCGGTTCCACCACAGAAACCGGTCCCTCCACCACAGTCCATCCACGACGCATCCTTCAGTAACTAGTCCCACGCCGAGGCCTAAACCCCAACTGGATTCCCCACTTAGGCTTACTACACTAATTTATTCCTCCACTTAGGATTTTAGACCCAACACCGAAGCCTATTGCAACAACTGATTCCTCCATCTATGAAAAAGTTCGCCTCCAAAGCTTACTCCAGTGACCAATACTTCTACCTAAACCCACCACAAAGACCTACTGTCGTAGGTTGATTGAAGTGTCTAGTTTTGCTAGTCACTGGCTTATTATCCACAACAAGTGTTGTGAAGCATCATTACGACAAGAAAATCTACTTTACGTTCTTCATTATGGAATCTTTCTTCTATATTCAGTTTTTTCCTATGAAAAATAGAGTATAGACGTTCTGCTCCTCACGGGGAAAAAATGTGCCCACACGCGCGAGTCTCATACATATTCTGCTCAGTGATTTGTAGAATATATATATATATATATATATATATATATATATATATATATATATATATATATATATATATATATATATATATATATATATATATATATATATATATATATATATATATATATATATATATATATATATATATATACTATATATATATATATATATATACAGAGAGAGAGCAAGAAACGTACCTATAAGTTTAAATATAGAGTTGGTTAATTGGGTTTACAGCTTTTAACTACACTAAGGGTCATTGAGGTTTTATATAACCCGTTTATCACAAGTCAAAAACACATAAATTACTTAAATTGGGACTCAACTCAGTATATTCACACACTAAAAGGCAAACACTTCTCAGTGTACATAAGCTTGGGATAAAAAAATAATTAAGTTATATTCTTAACTTGTAAATCATCAGCGGTAAATTATATTACAGAATCAAATTCTTTTTGAGAAAGTGTGATTTGGTCTTGTAAATTTTGTTGAGTATCCCACTGGCTAGGTTAAGTAATTGTTAGGAGGAAACGTTAAGTGTTTCCTGACGTGGGTCTTAGTCATGTGATGACCCGCCGCTGGAGCTTTTGGTCATCTGACCGAGGCCTTCCACTGGCTTACCACTCCACCACTTTTTACTATTGTTAATGTTATTGTCTAAAGCTTGTCAGTGTAATTTTTTTTAATAATAATAATACAGATTATTATGGAAATACTATAGTTGTTTTATACTCACGGAGACGGCAAATTATTAAATTTTTATACGAGATATATAAACAAATTATTGAACATCGACACCATGCCTAACCCTTCTAGGGTAGGGTAGGTGCCTGAGCCCGAGCCTTTAGTTCATAAGACTTTCATTCCCATTAGCCCCCTTGGGGCGGGGATGGCAGACCAGAGAGGCCTAGCTTGTGGCTAGGCCTGGGGACAGTTGGTCCCAAAGATGAGGAGGTACTTGTGCCTCTTCCCATGGGAGACTTAGGTCTCAGACACTCCCTAAAGAGGGAGCCAAGGCCGGGCCACCACTTGGAAAAGGCCCGGGCCGGGAGAATACCGGCTAATCTTTAATAATAATAATAAAATTATTGAAAATACGTACCTTTACTTTGGCTATTGTAAATACTTCACAACTTAAACTTGTTTAAATTCAACAATACTCAGCAGTACCTTGGTGAAATATAAGATACGTAATATAATTAATTCAGAACCATATATAATTTACACTGCAATATTTTTGTGACTGAATTCATGTTTGCATAAATAACTCATTATGATTTTAAATAAGGGTAGCCCGTGTCCTGGTAGGCAATGCTCTCGCTTCACACGCTGAGGGTTCGAGGTTCAATTCCCTGCAAGTAGAAACATGCATGTTTTGTTACACCTGTTGTCCTTCTTTACCCATCAGTAGAATGGGTACCTGGGTGTTAGTGGACTGGTGTGGGTCGCATCCTGGGACAATATTGACCTAATTTGCCCGAAATGCCGTGCATAACAAGTGACTTTCTATATAGTATGTTACTGATCGTTGGTCAGGTTTGTCAGGAAACAGGACAAGTGTTTCCTGACCCGGGTCTTAGTCACATGATGACCCACAGCTGAAGCTTTTGGTCATCTGACCGAGACATTCCGCTGGCTTACCGGTCCACCTCTTTAAAAATCATAGTCATAGCTATAACGATTTGACTACGTGGTATTGATGTCAGCTACGGTCTGTATACCTTGTACATGTACTTGTATACCTTGTACACGTACTTGCATACCATGTACATGTACTTGTATACCTTGTACATGTACTTGTATACCTTGTACACGTACTTGTATACCTTGTACATGTACTTGTATACCTTGTACATGTACTTGTATACCTTGTACATGTACTTGTATACCTTGTATATGTACTTGTATACCTTGTACATGTACTTGTATACCTTGTACATGTACTTGTAGAAATAAAAAGATATTATTAGATACATGACAGCAGTTCAGTACCACTGCAATTTAAACAAAGTGTTGGTTCCCAGCTCCAGGACCCATTATGTAATATTTTGACTAGCACCCACACCATGGCAGGGGGGGGGCGTAATAGTTATGAAACTAAAACATCCAGGAGTTATTCACAGAAATAGTTATAACCATCTTATGAGGTGGAGCGACGCCAGGATGAAGTGACCGATGCCAGGATGAAGTGAGCGACGCCAGGATGAAGTGACCGATGCCAGGATGAAGTGAGCGATGCCAGGATGAAGTGACCGATGCCAGGATGAAGTGAGCGATGCCAGGATGAAGTGAGCGATGCCAGGATGAAGTGAGCGACGCCAGGATGAAGTGAGCGATGCCAGATGAATGAGTGATGCCAGGATGAAGTGAGCGACGCCAGATGAAGTGACGACGCCAGGATGAAGTGAGCGATGCCAGGATGAAGTGAGCGATGCCAGGATGAAGTGAGCGACGCCAGGATGAAGTGAGCGACGCCAGGATGAAGTGAGCGACGCCAGGATGAAGTGAGCGATGCCAGGATGAAGTGAGCGATGCCAGGATGAAGTGAGCGATGCCAGGATGAAGTCAGCGATGCCAGGATGAAGTCAGCGATGCCAGGATGAAGTCAGCGATGCCAGGATGAAGTCAGCGATGCCAGGATGAAGTCAGCGATGCAGGATGAAGTCAGCGATGCCAGGATGAAGTCAGCGATGCCAGGATGAAGTGAGCGATGCCAGGATGAAGTCAGCGACGCCAGGATGAAGTGAGCGACGCCAGAATGAAGTGAGCGATGCCAGGATGAAATGGGCGACGCCAGGATGAAGTGAGCGATGCCAGGATGAAGTCAGCGATGCCAGGATGAAGTCAGCGATGCCAGGATGAAGTGAGCGATGCCAGGATGAAGTCAGCGATGCCAGGATGAAGTCAGCGATGCCAGGATGAAGTCAGCGATGCCAGGATGAAGTCAGCGATGCCAGGATGAAATGGGCGACGCCAGGATGAAGTGAGCGACGCCAGGATGAAATGGGCGACGCCAGGATGGAGTGAGCGATGCCAGGATGAAGTGAGCGACGCCAGGATGAAGTGAGCGATGCCAGGATGAGTGAGCGATGCCAGGATGAAGTGAGCGATGCCAGGATGAAGTGAGCGATGCCAGGATGAGTGAGCGATGCCAGGATGAAGTGAGCGATGCCAGGATGAAGTGAGCGATGCCAGGATGAAGTGAGCGATGCCAGGATGAAGTCAGCGATGCCAGGATGAAGTGAGCGATGCCAGGATGAAGTCAGCGATGCCAGGATGAAGTGAGCGATGCCAGGATGAAGTCAGCGATGCCAGGATGAAGTCAGCGATGCCAGGATGAAGTGAGCGATGTCAGGATGAAGTGAGCGACGCCAGGATGAAATGGGCGACGCCAGGATGAAGTGAGCGACGCCAGGATAAAATGGGCGACGCCAGGATGAAGTGAGCGATGCCAGGATGAAGTGAGCGACGCCAGGATGAAGTCAGCGATGCCAGGATGAAGTCAGCGATGCCAGGATGAAGTCAGCGATGCCAGGATGAAGTCAGCGATGCCAGGATGAAGTCAGCGATGCCAGGATGAAATGGGCGACGCCAGGATGAAGTGAGCGACGCCAGGATGAAATGGGCGACGCCAGGATGGAGTGAGCGATGCCAGGATGAAGTCAGCGATGCCAGGATGAAGTCAGCGATGCCAGGATGAAGTCAGCGATGCCAGGATGAAGTCAGCGATGCCAGGATGAAGTCAGCGATGCCAGGATGAAGTCAGCGATGCCAGGATGAAGTCAGCGATGCCAGGATGAAGTGAGCGACGCCAGGATGAAGTGAGCGATGCCAGGATGAAGTGAGCGATGTCAGGATGAAGTGAGTGATGCCAGGATGAAGTGAGCGATGTCAGGATGAAGTGAGCGATGCCAGGATGAAGTGAGCGATGCCAGGATGAAGTGAGCGATGCCAGGATGAAGTGAGTGATGCCAGGATGAAGTGAGCGATGTCAGGATGAAGTGAGCGATGCCAGGATGAAGTCAGCGATGCCAGGATGAAGTCAGCGATGCCAGGATGAAGTCAGCGATGCCAGGATGAAGTGAGCGATGTCAGGATGAAGTGAGCGATGCCAGAATGAAGTGAGCGATGCCAGGATGAAGTGAGCGACGCCAGGATGAAGTGAGCGATGCCAGGATGAAGTGAGCGATGTCAGGATGAAGTGAGTGATGCCAGGATGAAGTGAGCGATGCCAGGATGAAGTGAGCGATGCCAGGATGAAGTGAGCGACGCCGGGATGAAGTGAGTGATGCCAGGATGAAGTGAGTGATGCCAGGATGAAGTGAGCGATGCCAGGATGAAGTGAGTGATCCCAGGATGAAGTGAGCGATGCCAGATAAGTGAGCGATGCCAGGATGAAGTGAGTGATGCCGGGATGAAGTGAGCGACGCCAGGATGAAGTGGAGTGATGCCAGGATGAAGTGAAGTGATGCCAGGATAAGTGAGTGATGCCAGGGAGGAAGTGAGCGATGCCAGGATGAAGTGAGTGAGCCAGGATGAAGTGAGTGATGCCGGGATGAAGTGAGCAAATGCCAGGATGAATTGAGCGATGCCAGGATGAAGTGAGTGATGCCAGGATGAAGTGAGCGATGCCAGGATGAAGTGAGCGATGCCAGGATGAATTTGAGTGATGCCAGGATAATGAGCGATGCCAGGATGAAGTAGCGACGCCAGGAATGAAGTGAGCGATGCCAGGATGAAGTGAGCGATCCCAGGATGAAGTGAGTGATGCCAGGATGAAGTGAGCGATGCCAGGATGAAGTGAGCGATGCCAGGATGAATTTGAGCGACGCCAGGATAAGTGAGCGATGCCAGGATGAAGTGAGCGATGCCAGGATGAAGTGAGTGATGCCAGGATGAAGTGAGCGATGCCAGGATGAAGTGAGCGATGCCAGGATGAAGTGAGTGAT